TTTTTTTTTTTTTTTTTTCAACTTGAAAAAATTAAAAAGAATAAAATAAAAAAAATGAGCTGATTATTATTTGTTACAAATATTTTGTCAACACTCATCAAAAAAATGAAAGATAACAATCAAAAAAACTTCTTGTTTGTAGCCTTGAAATTGACAGTTAATAAGATTTTCTGAATCCCTGTACTACATTCTTCTCTGCTAAACTGATGAACGTCTGATTAAAGTTAAAGAAAAAAAATTTTTTTTTTTTTTTTGCTAAAATTAATATAGTAAACGAATTGAAACGGTTCAGATACCGAACAAAAACAGTTGCCAACCGACAAACTATAAGCAAACAATATCGGCCTACCGTATCGGCAGTAAATTCTTATGCTAATTTCTTATACTTAGACATTTTTCTTTGTCTAAACTATATATCACTGGTCAATAATTTCTGCTACATCTACCCTAACAATCAGTTTAATTCTAGTTTTTTCAATCAGCAAAAAATTAGAGAGCCGGGAATAGTGTTAATGATACCATAAACAATCGGAGCAAATTCATACCAAGCGAAATACCAAGAATATTTTCGATGCTATGATTCAGTTTTGCTTTTCGTACTCGTTTACTGGATTCATCAGATATTTTTTTTGCTTTTATATGCCTAAAAATTCTAAAGAAATTCAAAATTAAACCATTTACTGCATTATTGATTACATCTGTTCAATATTTGGAAAATTTTTTTCCATTCACACATGATTCAAGTTTAACTAACCAGATCATAACCAGATCAAACTTTAATGTTCAAAATAGTTGTACCTTTCTTTTTTTGCCTTCTACATTTTTATGCGATCATTAAGTAACAGAAAAAAACAGTAAGAAAGAATTGCAAAATAGTGTATTTTTGCAAACTTAACCTGTTAATCGACGAAACAGTTGGAGCGGTATCATTTGAACATATTTCACGTTCAATAAGACAGGATCTCAGTTCGCTGGCACACAAGTTTGGCTGTTCAGTTTTCAACGCCAAAATATGCTTTTCAACCGCTTGAACAGAAATTCGTGACCGGGGATTACCACCAATCTATAGTTCATTTGATAAATTTATCAACAACGATCACTGTTCCACCTAGCAGAATAGTTTCCAAAAAAAAAAAAAAAAAAAATGAGTGAGTAAATGAATAAGTAAAAAAAGCTTAGTGTTAATGTCCCTTTCCTTCAAAAGAAAAAGAAAAATTTAAGTTAAGATTACGATAATTTTGATTGAATACTGAAGAAAAAGCATCTGCAAAAACAATAAAAAAATTGCAAAAATCTTTGTCATGTATTAATAAAGTGCCGTTACAATTACAGACAGAAATAGATATGCCAAAAAAATAAAAGACCAAAACCACTGTTTCAAAAAGAACCAGAAAATAAATCTCACCACAGGGGGTATCATTCGAAAAACTGTCATATTGCCTTGTTGAAAAGAAGAAAAAGAAAAATTTCTTTTATTTTTTGGTTAAGATTTGAAAAAAAAAAAAAGGAGAAGAAAAAAGAAAGAAAAAGAAAGGGAAACCAAGAGAAAAGTGTTGAAATTTGTTTAATAATAACCGAATGATTGGGTGAAAATATATATTTAAAAAAAAAAACGAACGTACAATAAAACAAATAGCATTTCTTC